CATTCTTTCGTCATTCGCTAGTTGAATTTCATTTAGTTTACTTTTCATCTCATATGAATTAGTTAATCTAGAGTTTGAATTATTTCTGATAGGGCATAGTATTAAAGCTAAGTGTTTTGATAATTCATAAGTTGGGGTATTTCTAAAATCTACTATTGGCCTTATTGGGTATCCTGGCTTATGTATTTTAATAGTACCATATAATCTACTAGCATTATTAGTTTTAGGCATTAAGTTAAACCATTTAGACTCACCCAGTGACGGCTTCATTCTGCGTATTAGTTCTGCTGTAGATTTCTTAACCTTATTCATTATTGTATCTACAGGTTTCTTAATTTCCTCATGTGGACCCGTTTGAATATGTTCAATAACTTTTTTGATATAGTCAGATTTATTCAGAACTACGGTGGCGTTTCCTTTATCAGCTTTTGCAATGACAATATTTTTATCCTGTTTTAGACTAATTAAAGCTTCTCTTTCCAATTTTGTTAAGTTTGATTTTGCCTTCTTTTGATTCTTCAGGGTTAATGCACATTGTGCTCGAACCCCTTCTGCTGTTGTCTTATCTATTGAACCTAGCGCTACTTCTATGCTAGGAATGACATCCTCTGGTTTTAATTTGTTAACTGTTACATTGAAATTTAGTCCTTTCTCAAGTACTTTTATCTCACTAGAGCTTAGTTCCTTTGATGAGAGGTTGATCACCCACTTTGTTCTGTCGATAGAGGATGAAGCGTTGACATCAATTTTATTTGCTGTGTTCCTTTCTTCAATTAGTTTGTTGAATTTTTTGATTTGTGTGGCTTTTGATTTTCTTGATGCTGATTCTCTAGCTTTTTCGGATGTTTCAACAACAATTACATAATCTTTGTCATTGACCATACATTTGAGTTTCCGTTTGAGTTTTTCGATTTCATTTCGTATATTATTGAGTTTCACAGTAATTCGATGTAGTTCTTCTCTTAAACATAATCTACTGAGATGTTCAGAGGCTGACGATATTTTTCTTGAAGTAATTGGAGTGCGTATGTGTAAATATTTTGGAGTTATATGATTTTTCAAACATCGACTGTTGAAAATCCGATGGTTCGCGAATCTTGCTTCTGTTTGAGAAAGTCGTGTGAGTTTATTGATAAGCTTCCTAGTAGGAAGACCATATGTATTATTGATATAAGTATAAAACTTGGGCACTGTGGTAGAGTATAATTCCATAATGGATAAGATTTTATTTTGATAAATCACACAGTGCAGTACAGTTATATTAACTGATGACGTTTCGAGCACAAACTATTGCTCATAATCATATCAAGTTACTCACACAACTTCTTTCCTTCATTTATATACATGTGTGGAATCGACTAATAATGCTAGTAGATTATATGGTACTATTAAAATAATTAAGCCAGGATACCCAAGAAGGCCAATAGTAGATTTTAGAAATACCCCAACTTATGAATTATCAAAACACTTAGCTTTAATACTATGCCCTATCAGAAATAATTCAAACTCTAGATTAACTAATTCATATGAGATGAAAAGTAAACTAAATGAAATTCAACTAGCGAATGACGAAAGAATGGTCAGTTTTGATATAACCAGTCTTTATACTAATATACCAGTCAATATGGCCTTAGAAGCAGTTAAAAAAGAACTAACTGCGGATACTGAACTCAATCATAGGACAAAGCTGTCCATTGAAGAAATTATTTTAGGGATTCAGCTATGCCTCACATCTACTATCTTCAAGTTCCAAGGCAAAATATATAGACAAACAGAAGGTGTAGCAATGGGATCACCAATATCCCCTATTGTAGCAGACATCTTTATGGACAGCTGGGAAAATAGTGCTCTCAATACATTTAATCCTAGGCCAAAAATATGGTGGAGATATGTAGATGACACATTCACAGTGTTAAAAGCAGAACATATCTCTAGCTTCTTAACACATATAAACTCACAAGTAGAAGGAATAAAATTCACATTTGAATCAGAAAATGAACAAGGAGAATTAACCATGTTAGATTGTAAGATAAAACGAATAGAAGAAGGCAAACTACACACTAGTGTTTATAGAAAACCAACGCATTCTAATAGATATTTAGACTTTAATTCGTCTCATCCATTAACTGTTAAGGCAGGCTTGGTTAAGTGTCTGACAAACCGAGCCATAGCACTAAGTAGCACAAAAAAGGACCTAAGTGACGAAATAAAACAGATAGAAGAAGCGTTGGTGTTGAATAACTATCCTATAAAATTCATTAAGAAGGTCAGTAAAGGCCAAAAACAAAATAAAAATAATTGGGTAACTAGTAGTAATAACATAAATAAGAGAGAATATAAGTCTTCTACTGTTATACCATATAAGGAGGGGACATCTGAGGCCCTACGTAGGATTCTCAATAAAGCAGGAATTAGGGTGGCATTCAAACCAACAAACTCACTCAGAGACAAACTTTGTAGGTTAAAGGACCCGTTGGACCCAATTAAACAAAATAATATAATTTACAAAATACCTTGCAACGACTGTGAAGTCAACTACATAGGTCAAACTAGTAGGTCAGGGATAGTCAGATTATCAGAACATAGGAATTTAGCTAAAGGGAAAATGATTGACCCTGAAAAGATAAGTAATTTAGAAAAAAGCTCAGCTATTGCACTTCACGCAATAACAAACAACCACACAATAGGGTGGGATAGGGTTAAAATTCTAAAACGTAATATAGGTAGGTGGAAAGAGAGGTTGATTACGGAATCCTTATTCATCGAGTCTACACCCAACACATGCAACAGAAGTGACTCAATGCAAATACCAGAAATATGGAAGATATTATTACCGCCAGTCAAATCAGAAGAAGACGATAAATAGTCTTAAAATTCTATTTCCATTCAAGCACATCATAACATTCTAACAATTAACTTATTATGACTATAAAAACACTCGTCGTCATTCCCATCTAGTTGCAATGGATTAATAACACTCGTATTATTGCCACCAGTCAAATCAGAAGAAGATGATAAATAATCTTAAAATTCTATTTCCATTCAAACACATCAACACATTCTAACAATCAACTTATTATGACTATAAAAACACTCGTCGTATTTCCCATCTAATTGCAATGGATTAATAACACTCGTACTATTATTTCTGAATGTACATTATCTCATATTGAATTTTATTCCAATATCTAGTCGATTCCACACATGTATATAAATGAAGGAAAGAAGTTGTGTGAGTAACTTGATATGATTATGAGCAATAGTTTGTGCTCGAAACGTCATCAGTTAATATAACTGTACTGCACTGTGTGATTTATCAAAATAAAATCTTATCCATTATGGGATTTTGAGCTATGTCACCAATTGTTTCCAACCATTGGTTTTTACCGTCCAGAGGATCCCAACCAGGAAGTCTACATCTTCCTACGTGGCTTAGACTAACTGTTGTATATTTCATTGACTGGTGCCATGTTTTGGTTTGACCGCCGCTAGCTCTTTTCCAGCCTGGCCCTATATCAGCTAACATTGCCTGTCGTCGAGGAAGGCGATTGATGACTAGGCATACGTGGCACATGTCCTAACCATCTCAGTCGATGTAATTTCACAGTCTCGTCGACTGATTTCCCCGCCTAACCTAGCACTCGACGCCTAACCTCGATATTGCTCACCTTATTATACCACTTCACACGGGAGATAGAACGCAGACACCTATGATCGAAGACAGCTAATCTTTTCATGTCTTCTGCTCTCAATGGCCAGGTCTCACAGCTGGCCATAAAGGAGGACGGAGCGGACTGATGAGCAGTACACCCGCCCTTTGGTCGATAGTCGGATATCACGTCTACGCCAGAGACGGCGTAAACTGGCATATGCGAACCTAGCCCTCTGTATTCGTGCTGATATTTCGTCGGAGATCAACCCGTTGGGGCTGATGGTACTTCCGAAGTAAGTGAAGTGGTCAACGTGCTCTACCACTTTACTTCCTATTTCTAATCTAGGGGTCGGTGAAGTTCAATCCTGCAGCATCATCTTACATTTCACAGGGGCGAATCGCACGCCAAACAAACGAAGATTGTTGCTCAAGGTGTTCAGTACTCTGCATTTTGTCAGCGTCCTCGCCTAGAAGGACTATATCGTCCGCATATTCTAAGTCGACGAGATTATTCCCTGGTAGCAAGTCAATCCCTGAGTCGCTGAAGTGTGTTAGGGTTAAGTCCATTAGTACATCTATGATGAATTTGAACAGGAATGGGGATAATGGGCATCCTTGACGGACGCCACTAGTTGTCACCACTTCAGATGACAACTCGCCATAAGCCCTCACCTGGCTGCATGAGTACGAGTAGAGTGCCTAACAGCAACGTTTAGTTTCACAGTATTAATTTAGATCAGTCTAAAGATGACGTACTACACTGGATTCGTTTAATTTAGTGTTATTATGATTACAATGGTATCTAGGTATTTCTTTAACTTTTGACAAAGATCAAGAATCCTTCATGTTGCACATATTGGATGTTGACTCGTTGAATCAATTTGAAATACCCAGTGTTGAAATCAGTGTTTCCTTTTAGTCACACTGATTTTTTATGACTGACAGTTTACCATCTGCAGTCTGGTGACTTTAAAGGCCTATTAGTTGGTAAAATGTAAAAACTGGACTCGTTTCAAAGTATAATACTAAATTGAAGTCGACAGATAAAGTGTTTAGAAAACACATTTAGCTTTTCTAGATTTAAGTTGGTTCTCTAATATCCGTTTGTAAGTATTTCATGTATTAATGGAAAGTTATGCTTACTGTATTTTGTATGGTGACTTAATTGTTGTCGACTATTATCCAATGAGTTTCTTAAAACTTGTACAGAATATTTGCGTGGTATTTTGATTTGTTATTCTTTTAATCGATTACAATACCCACCAGTTCAGGTACACAAGATCGAAAAAAGTGTGCATGATCAGATATTTCTTAACGAAATGTAGAACATTATAAAACAAAATATCGATTACAGTTCATCCATAGCGACATTTATCAAATCCTTTAGTTGCTTATTTATTGACATCAGCGTACTATTTAGCTCTTCCATTGATGTTTGCTCCATTCCTGAAACATAATGTAACGGTTTCAACCCAAGATAGCTTGTACCTGAAGTTAAAAAAAATAATTAATAGGGATTTAAAATCAAGTCGGTTTTATTAAACTAGTCATAGGGAACAGAAACACAACTTCACATCAACTGCCATCCTAATAACATTTTGAATCATCTTTGGTTGGTGATTTGTTGTCTCTTAAATAACTTATATTTCAACTACCTTGATCATGTTTTTGTGTATAAATAACAATTTTCTAACTGTGCAAAACCGATTTATAATATATCTAGTAATGGGCAGCTGTTTTCCGTATCCTGATGCCAGTTCACTGGGAGCTTATGTATGTAAAAGTCTCTCCGTAGCCATCCCTTGGACAATATATCGAAGAGCGAGATCATTATGTCAATTAGTACCAATTCTCGTTCAGTCCTGCAGATTAGACAACCAGTAGCACTGCAGTAATACGATTAATTCCTATAGTCACAAAACAGCTGCATAATATGCTTCATATAGGCAAATGCTCGTGGTTATGCTTTAACTTTATGTATTCTTGGGAATTCAGAGAATCATTTCGTGTACCACTCATTGTTGATTGCTGTTCCACCAATTTAAACAAAATTCGCCTCTTAATTGCATTAGTCTGTATTTGGTGTATAAGTATTATGAATGGGAAAACAGTGAAGAAGGGCATTTCTACGTTACTCACTCTTACAAAAGATAATTGTTTGATGAATGTATAGTTGATTTTAGTTCTTCTGGACGAGGGACATCCATCTTTTAGGAATTTTTCTACTTCGATTCTTATGTACTGAAAGCTTAGAAAATTGCTACCTACAAGGAATTACATCGAATAATGATTACAAGTTGAATATGCAAAATGATAATATTTGATAGGTTATGGCTTGCAGCGAAATTCAGGACGTATCTTTTCTTGTTTGAGACTCGTCAGTCAGATCTGCCTGCACCGGGGCTCGAACTCGGAAACCACCGTTTCAACATGGATCACTTCTTTCCGGTAAATCAGGCAACAGGAAATTTAATTCTCATTAAGTACTAGCTGATACCTGTCACAAAAGACGTAGTTGTCAAGACTCATCAGAACACTGAACAACGTCATCGCATTTGTAATAATGGGTGCAAGATTCTAATTTCAACCGGAGCATGGTCACTGACTAGAATGCATGTACCTCTGGCTGATGAGTCCGTAATAGAAAGAACCAAATGTTTGTTCTTGAATTCTTCAATTAGTCTCGCCGAAAATTAACCATACTCTTTCCTCCTTATAATTCACTGTGACTAGTATTGATAGGTGAATAATTACCCAGCTGCCAGCTAGTGGGATGATATTTATTAGTTAGTTACATACCATGACATGACACATGATGATTTCAATGAAATATTGTCTTAGCAGCCGGGTTATAGCTTAACAAGTTGAGCTTTAGACTTCAGAGTCAGGGGACGCTGATTTCAACCCTTTAGTGACCTAGGATTACATCTGACTAGTCAAAATATGCTTTTGTTCATCATGAAAATGTACGGTGAGACGCAGTGAAAGTATTCAAATGCAACATAATCAGGTGAAGGGATTGATTATTGAGTCTTCGTATATTAAGTTAATACCAGATACATGTAACGAATCAAGAACTTTATACCATTACCAGATATTTGGGAAATTCCAACTTCAGGAAAAAAAATTAAAAAGGTTTAAACTGAGTATGATTATAAACTAGAAAAATTAGCCCAGTGTTATCAAGAAAACAATTCTTTATCATTGTGCGTTATATTACATACTTTACTACATATCTCTAGTATTCAATTGATTGATGTAATTTTGCTCAGTATCAATAGCCACTGAAATCCCGATAGCGATATATAAACAATGTCACGTTTTCCTATCACAATTAAGCTTCAATCGTTTGCGGATTACGTTTTAAATACCTTGTAGTTTAGGATATGTTTATCGAAACCTACCTAAGGCATATTAATTTCCAAATTCCCATTTACGCATATAGAAAAGATAAACTGACCGAAGAAAGATGTTCGTTCTCAATTAGTTCCTCATCATCGGCTCTACACTAACATGTTACCAATCATGTGATTATTTTAGTCCATCACTTTTAGGTATAGTGGGTGAAATCAAGAGGTCAAAAGTTATCAAAATTTCGGGAGGAACATATGAACTCAGTAAGTAAACAGCCAAAGGTGCCCACAGTTCCTTAAAAAATCAGTCTTCCTAAGATTGCAATTCACTGGTGATGTTAATAGTGCGATCTTATCACAACATCTTAGAACGGCCTGAAAGAGGACGATCAACGCAGCCAAGTTATCGTGTATTGAATTAGTTGTGTTCTCTTAGCTGATTGATTTAATTGTGAAGCTTTCGTCGTCCTTCTAGGGAATATCTCCAATGCAGGTTTTAGTATAAAATGAACTTATTTAAATTCTCCATGAATGATGTAATTGCATCTCCTAGCAACCATTGCCGTGACTGAAATTTTGCTGTTCATTCCATTCTTATATGTCTTACTCAGGAGAACTAACACAATAAGTTTAGAAACACAAGTATATAAAAAATCAACGCAAACAGACAAACACTCAACTATAATAGTAATGACCCGATTAACCAGAAAAGAAACTGTCTGCAGACATTGTTTAAAAGAGTTCAAACACATTGTGGCACTCCGGTGTTGAAGAAAATGGAGGAAAAATACCTACTAACCATCTTCAAAAAGAATGGATTTCCTCAAAGTTTCATCAAAAAGTGTTTAAGCTCGAGTCATAACACCAACAACAAGCCGAAATCAAAGACCACCAATTAAATTAACCAGCTCAGAGAACACAGCTAATTCAATATCATCCACGTGAGCTACAAATCTTTTCCACTAAGTTATGTTGTATAATCACTAGCCAGCCAATACTTATTTCAAGGAATAAAGAATAACTGCCCTGTTTTGCCTCTTCCATATGTATTTGTCAGATTAATTGCTCGTGCGGAGCTAGTTACATAGGGCGTACGATCAGGTAAGTTTATCGTCGAATTTCTGAACACCTCCCATCTTGGTTTGGCAAAAGTCCAAATAAAGCTATAGGCAGCTCAATACTAGCTCATCTCGCTGATTCTGACTGGACATCAAGTTGACTGTAACAAAGCTTTTAAAGTTATTTATCGTATATCACCCAACCTCCTGCATGGTCTACGAATACGAATTTTACTTACAGCAGAAGCAATCGGAATACCTCTGAACAAGCCAAATCTATGTGTTCAAAAGAAATCAGTACAGCCCCTTTCTTTGCCATGACCAACTACATAATATGTATTAAGTTTTTAAGGACGATTTCCCCACCTTGTAACTATATTTTGACTTTGTTAATTTTCACAATTTTTACAATTCTAGATAATTCTATTAACTTGTTTGTATTTTAAGTAACTCTTCTGAGTCACAATATTCTTCTTAGTCATCACTGCTATTTTACAAATGTCTTGATTGTGTAATAACTTGTTGCTAAATCCTTAGAATCAACTTATCTTGAATTCCGTAATTAATTTTCACCCCTCTTTTACAATTTAGATATCTTGTTACTAACATCTATTGGCTATTTGTTTTAATGACATTTAACCTCTTAATTTCCCCCCACCTCCCTCCCTATACCTAGAACTGATTAACTAAAATAACCACTTAACTGGTAAAATTTTAATTTTAAAAACTAAGTATTAGTGTAGAGCTGATGTTGAGGAACTAATTGAAAAGGAATATATTTCGCGCATTTTGTTGTGTTTTTGTAAACCACATTAGTTGTAAATCAATTTATGTTTTCATTTATTGTAATTTATGAATCTCTTACTAGGCGAAGATAGCTGCTCTCAGCTGGTGTATCGGTTCCCCAACATTAATATACTTATTGATGTCATCTTAATGTACTTCTAGAACTCTTAATCGTTGACTGTTTTCTTTTGTGTATTTTTGAGTTCAAATCGCATGTAGTTTTAGTTTTGTTGCGATCCTAAACATGGTTTCGGTAATACTGAAAAAAATTTTTGAAATCTTCCGTTGTGTTGCCGTTATTACTTACATCATTATTTGTATCCATCTAATAAGGTTTCAAGAACTTTCTCATAAACTCCGGAGGATAATTGACAAATAACACCTCTTTACTATTAGATGGTTGGAGGCGATCGGCGGGAAGCCTTGAACCTAGGTTTCGTGCTAGTTGGCACTCATCAGCAAGGCGTATCTGCAAATGAAATCAATGTGCACCATGATGACGAGCTACCTAGAATGGTGGCCACATTACAACCTGACTGATAGAATTCAGTCTGCACCAAAGAAGGGACTAGACACGTCACACTAGTTACTAGTGTCAAATCAAGATACCTCTTTACTATATTTGATTACTTCATTTAAATTTTTCAAATTATTAGTGAAACTCGTGGGTTAATTGTTTCAGCATCTTACTGATTCTGTTGTAACAGATATGGATTAAGAAGATATGGGAGTGTAGTTATTTGTTTGAAAGTGGTAGTTTTCAGTGAAGACTTTTGTCTAAAACTATGTCATCTTTTCATCTTACTTTACAACTCAACTTCATTGATTGGCTTTCGTTTTCTATTGCAAATAATCTGAAAACGTCATTCCTAGTATTATTTAAATATCACTATGTCCAACAATTGAAATTATTTGTCTACTTTTAGTTAAATCAGCTACATAACTTGTTAGTCACTTCGTACCGACTTTTATTAATATTCAGTGAACGGCCATTTTCGAGGTTTTACTCACCTGTTTGGAACTCGATAAAAGTATCGTAGATATAGATTGCAATAGTAGCATCAACTTCAGTAGCAACAATGCGTCCATTAATTTTAGCATTAGCTTTAGCTAGTTTAAATCTGAAATTATAAAATGGTTCACAAATATGATCAGAAATAGTAACAAAAAGATTAAATTGAAATGTTTACCTAGAAGTGTGTTCATAAGTTTGATTTATAATCTCTTCTCAATAATTTACGCTTTATATTTTCATGTATTGTACTAAATCACAATATGTGTGCACTTCTTTACTTCCTTTAACATTAGTTTGTGTTCACTGTATGTTATGCTTTTTTATATAGATAGTCAAAATCATCTTTATCAATCGTTTGAGCAGACATATTTTTATCGTTTGGAATTATAACAACTTTCCTTAATTTTCAAGTATTGGTATTGTAGGGATTTTTGTTTGACTGGTTGGAGGATTTCATCATGAGCTGACATCAGTTAGAGAACCATTGGAAAACCAGCCGGGAGTACTGGACAGCTTTTTCGCCCTAGTTTGGGACCCGTCAGTAGTACGCATCCACCGCCAGGGTTCGAACCCAGGACCTTCTGGTTACAAGGCCAGTGAGCTCGTAGACCATTCAGCCACTGGTACCCGATCCAACGGCCAGCCCATGAATTCTAACTTCTGCCAATTCATTACATAGCGCGACCACTTCACAATGTCTTTTTCGATGAGTGACTGCCTCACATTCAACTTGCTGCATCCTACTGGTCACGGATTCCCACTAGAACCCCAGGTTAACTGCCTGAATAGGGCGTACTGATGAAGAGTCCCAAACTTGGGCGAAACAGCTGTCCGGCACTCCCAGGTTTTCCGACGGTTCTCTAACTGATGTCAGCTCTTGATGAAATCGTCTAACTTTCCTTAACTCTTTTTTATTCTCAGTAACATGTATATATTCACAAATGAATAGCTAGACGTTGATTAGGGCACTCCGAAGTTTATAAATATGTGGGCCCATATTTCTAACCCAATATTTTCGGTTCATTTTCTAACCAATTTGACTGAACAATAGTGTGGTGAGAGCTGTCTACTAGCCAAATTGGTAGACAGTAATTTATGTCAATATTTACGTTCCCAAGATTTGTCGTGAGAAACAATCAATCGGAAGACTGTGTTTGTTTGGTTACATAACCATAGTAATGTACATGAAAACGTATATAAATATGCGTTGATTTCCTTAATAAATGATCTGTTGCCTGACTCTTGCCTTCTGCTGTTACAATAGGTCTTATTGGCACATTATTCAAAGAAGGAGAAGAGCATCTTCGATACCGATGGATTTGCGGTAGTTAAATTAATACTTAATGATTTCATTATCTAATACGTGAAAGCTATTTGGACGGGTTTTTCAAAATTTCGTATATATTCACCACTGGAACACTGATTTGCTTTCATCATCGAATAGAAACGGAATGCATCATTCTGATGCAAGGTAAAATGGTAAAATAAATAAATAACAACACATACAGTGTAGGCAGTGCAGAAGCTGGAGCTGTCTGTTGATCGCCGATGGACGAACGCCTCATTGCTAAATAATAAACTTTCAATAATTGGCTGGCGTCGTCTTCAATCTTCACCGGAGGTGAATTTTTGCAAGCATCTAAAAGCTTTCACGTTAAAAATGAGAAAAAAGGATTATTGGTTTCACACTGTACTCATCCCTAAACACAAACACTTTAATTTCCTAAATGTTATCCGTCAAATAATGTTAATAGATAATGTAATGGTGTAACAACAGAAGGCAAGACACGAAAGCCAAGGTATATTTTCCAGTGATCAAACCGCTGTTTATATATATATATATATATACTTTATATTCTCTAAACAATCACTGAGCATGTGATTTCGGTTTACATCAAACGACATGAAGTAGAATTTTCAAATATACATAGTATTCTCTTACCAATTCAGTATGTAACTGTGGGAAATGTATTCTGTCTTTGATTGGACACTAGTAACTAGTGTGATGTGTCTAGTCCTTTCTTTGGTGCAGACTGAATTCTATCAGTCATGTTGGCAATGTGGCCACCATTCTAGGTAGCTTGCCATCACGGTACACGTTGATTTGGTGATATTAGACGGTTGGAGGTAATCGGCAGGAAGCCTTGGACCTAGGTTTCGTGCTAGTTGGTACTCGTCAGCATGGCGTATCTGCAACCTTCAAGGAACTCATGTCCCTTCTGAAATTCAAACCCGCGTCACCCAGTACTGCAGTCAGAGATGTTACCACTGAGCTATTCGGGCTCAGTCTACACCAAACAAACCACTAGACACATCATACTAGTTACTAGTGTCCAATCAAAGTATCCACTACTTTCCTACATGAGGTCAATTGCAAGCCCGAATAGCTCAGTGGTAACATCTCTGACTGCGGTACTGGGTGACGCGGGTTCCAATCTCAGAAGGAACATGAGTTCCTTGAAGGTTGCAGATATGCCATGCTGACGAGCACCAACTAGCACGAAACCTAGGTCCAAAGCTTCCTGCCGATTACCTCCAACTATCTTATATCGTGTATTTTGTCTCTAACATCAAATAGAATGTTCAAATAGATATACTGTATTCTGTTGCTAATGCTGAATTGAACTGTGGGAATAAGTGAGGATAATATTTCGTTGGAACACATTGTCTGCATCACACCACCACAGCGGAAATAGAACAGAAGAACTCAAAGCATTCACACATTTACTAAGGAAATAAATAGACCTCGGTTAGTGTTTCCCGTTCCTTACTGCGATACGGTCACACGTGTTGTGTGGGGGCTAGTGGGTAGTACACGGATGTCCAAACCCTGTAGATGGAGCGGTGTTTGAACCAGTGACCCTCTGGTTAGACATTGAGCTTATAAACGAATTAGCAATAGCTCTCATTTACTGAGTTTTTTATTATCCTGTTTATCCATTTTTTTCATTTTCCATGGAATTCTCTTACTAATGTAGCCTATTGCTTGCATCTGTTTGTTTCACATATATTTGATACGGTATTTACTCAGTTTTTTTCCAAACTCTTATCTCTATGGCTTTTGAAATTTTCAGGTCGCTGAATCATTTGGTAGTATAAATAGCATTGAAATATATGAATGATGAAAAGCTCTTTGTATGCTGTAATTGTAATTTCGTTGTATTCTCACTTCAACTAACAAAATTAACATGTACTCTGTAAACCATATTACCTATTGGTATTTCATTTTTGTTATACAAACAGTTGAGATTTTATTAATCTAATTTTAAACTCGTAGCTATTTCCTCATCCGTTAGCATATAATCTTTTGTGATATGTTGAGCGGTTGTTCATAGATTAGTTGCTTTATTTTTTAAATGATACAGTAGAGTTCAGGGTATATTATTTCTATAATGCGTTTATATAGATTTACCTTATCTATAGTCTAAAGTAATTTAATGTTTAGTAGTTAACACTTAACACATATTGTAGTGGTGTGACACAGACAATGTGTTCCAATGGAATATTATTCTCACAGTTCAATACGGAATTAGCAACAGAATACGATATATCTATTTGAACATTCTATGTGATGTTAGAGACAGAATGGATTTCCCATGGTTATATACTGCATTAACAAAAGAATGCTATGTTCATTTGATCATTCTGTTTCATGTCGTTTGATGTAAACCGAAATCACACACTCAGTGATTGGTTAAAGAATATAAACTGTATATACATAAACAGCGGTTTGATCAATGGAAAATATACCTTGGCTTCCGTGTCTTGCCTTCTAATTGTTACAATATAAGTAATTTATAGGAATCATTCACACTTTATTCACTTTTTGTCAATCAATTTCAAATTATGAGCTTAGATATTTGTAAAATCTCAGCAAAATTTAAATGAGTAATATCAACGTTTCGTTCGGTAAGTTGTTCCGACGGCTTCAGAGAAACCAGTCGAAATTAAAATAACAGGGGTTTATATTATGAAAAGGACATCTCTTGTTTTTAAAAAAACTTTATCCAATCATATGAGTCATGAAACAGGCATCAAAGTATGATGAACAATAGTTTATGAACTGTGATCAAAATTTGACGTCAAACTTACAAATATTAGAAGTCTACTTTTGTTAAACACTGTAAACAATGTGTACTTTTTCATCATTTGAATGATTACATATGAACTTTGATTATGGTAAAAATCTGTCTTTTTATATCATTCACTGGTATAATAATACAATGAAGTTCAGTCAATTGTACGATTTTGTGTTTTCTATCCGAGAACGTTTCAGACTTTTAATCATGATTTCTCTTGTAAAGAAGACCCCTGGTTGAGTTCCTAATCAAAGTAGTCGAAATGTCTGAACTATATGACGCCAAGTAAAAGATACTGTCTGAAAACACATAGATCTAACTAGGAGGTTAATCACAAACTAGCTAGCTCTGCGTTACCGTTTATGTTGTAAGTGAAAATCTTTTCAAATATCTTAAATAAAACGTGTGGAATGAAAACCTTCAGATTTAATTAATATCATCAAAAAGAATTATAACTTGTTTAGATAAATTATCAAACATACACTTGTATATATTCTCATATATGAGTGTGAAGGTAATCTTGACGAATATTCTTCCACACTGGATTTGTCAGCCATTTTTAAACACAAATCGGACAGTGACTCGTCCATGAGTTCCATCGGCCCGGCAACTTCTTCAGTATAGATAACGAGATCGAAAGCACTGGATTTCATTAAAGAAAAGTAAATCTTACTGATTAGTAGAAAATAAATAATTATAAGTTACTCATTATTTAAAGCACCATTTGTTAGGTGATTTAGACGCTTTATCACTTCTTTGTTTCGAAAGTAGTATCTCACTGTTCCACATAAATTCTCTAATTGAAACTAATCATGACGGAATATGTGCAACAATCATTTCGGCTACAGCAAGTGAAATAATTTTTTCTCAATTCCTACATTATTTTTCTGCCTAAATTGATATTTCTCTGCTATCAACAACACGCTAAGGTGTACTTAAGTGATCGTGTTTCTTCACCAGTGAAATAGAATAAAAACTTCCAGAAAAATAAAGTCTTGCATTGAGTGCTTAATCAACATGTCAGAAAATGAGACTTGCTATAGACTGCCTTTGTTGAAGTTGCAAATCTATTTACTTTATCAAGTTTTTTGATGCTATTTTTCTAGATTTCAAACGTTATTTGACTAGTAGTCATTTTATCAGTCTAGTTGGATATGAAGTGATCTTGTTAAGGAAGATTAGCAAGTATTTATCATTTAGAGTAGATTCTGAAGATGAGTACATAATTTCAGTAATTGATCCTGAATTCTCTTGATATTCCTATAAACCAGCTTCTTAGCCGTCAGAAGTAGTATTACGATGGTGTTAGTACCCCACTATTTTTATTTGTTGTTAACCCCCTGTGATTTGAAATGGGAAGAAATCTACAAATAACTTTTTCAGTCGTATGGAAATGGTTGTCTTTAGTAAATATCATCTAGCAGTGTCACTTTCAGATTGTATTATTGGCTTTTGAAATATCATCCCTTGGCCTTCAACATTATGTATAAAGACTTCTAAGAGCTTTTGGAATTTCCATTGGGTAAGTAACTTAAATGTGACATGGTATTGACAAGAAGACATTCATTCGTTTGAAATAAATGACTTCACATTTTTGTTTTTCAAAATAAAAACTTACTGAGTAATTCTCTTTAAATTTCCTTTTCTTAATAAAGAACTACATGTCCACTTTGTTGTTGCTGTTGTTGTTTGTGTAGAAGGTTCTGTGTCAAATAAATCAGTTTGCGAAAATTTAAAAGTAGGCTCTTTGAGCTTTTCTCTATATGCTGAAGTGATCTCAGCAGTAGCCCAGATAGTTGTTTCATTTGGGTAAGGCAATTCATCAGTGTTTTCATGATTAGGAGGTGATTTATTTTCATGCTGTACAAACGAAGTACTGACAGCCATATTCTCTAAAGCTGAGTCAAAAACCAAGTTAGAAAAAAAGATTGGCAGTAGCGTGGCGTGATGCAGACTGATGGGAAGCGGTCAAAATCGAAATTAACATTTTGAGCCAATGGCTGGAGAGGCAGAAGTATCTCTTCCTCAAATCTGAGTTTATTTTACGTTATGAACATGCAATAACCTCACTGGACAACTTGTTTAACCTTGAGCCAAGTGACTATCAGTCAGAAGGCTTTACTCTGCTCTGTAAGTGTAGAACTTGGGCACTGTGGTAAAATATAATTCCATATTAGATAAGTTTATTTTAAATATCACACAGTGATGCAGTATTAACAACTGGATGACGTTTCGAGCATAAATTACTGCTCATAATCATATCAATTTAGTCACACGGTTTCACAATTTGTCTTATATATTTTTTCTGTGTCTCCAATTTCCCTTTGTTATTTGTTGCCACTTTCCATATCTCCGGTATAGGCGTTGCATCATTCCTATTGCACCTATACGGTGTTGAATCGATAAACAAAGCTTCAGTGATTCTGCTGTGACCTAGCTGAGCTTCAATATGGCTAAGAATGTATAAATGTGATGCGTTTTTCTTTAATAATTGTCCGTTACCTGCTGTCCTATCTCCTGGCCTTACAGTAGTAGTGTTCCACCAAGATAGCAGCTTATAAGGTCTTAAAGCGGTGAAATAATCTTTCATACTATACACGAGTTCTTACTGCTCTTGAGAAATAGACCACAAAAGTTACTCAACAAAAAACAATGGTAGAAAAAAGATAGTGACAATGTATTTTTCCTCCCTATGTATGTTTAAACTAGAAAGAGGATACTGGCAATACCACAAAACAACATACAAGTCCATAGTTTAACGAGTTATAATAATAGGTTATGAGAAGCTGACTTCCCATAACTAGACTAGGTTCTGTAAGTTTATTTAAAGAATTATTTTATCACTGCTTCTCTACACAAGACGTTACAGTATTGTTTCTACTCCTGTTACTGAAAAGAGGAGTGTATTCCTCTACACGTAATATAATGAACGTATAAGTCTCCAATTGACTTGACAAATGAAAGAATATTTGTAAAAGTTACACAAATTACATTTATTTATCGTTTTAAAACACTAAAACAAATGAAAAGTGTGTAACCTATCAATATCACTACTTAGTGTTGTAAGAAACATAGAGTGTAGCGAACAATGGAAAACTAAATCAAGGGAACATCTTCACATTGCTGTAAATCTACAAAATCAGCTTAGTATGCATGGATTCAAATAATAATAATATGAGTGTAAAATTAGATTATGATCACATAGTCGCTCTTACTCCATTTATAACTTGAATTATTTTAAGTCGACACAAACTTATGACGGAGATTATCTGAAAAATGTGATGTATTTGCGCTATACATTTCAAAACAATCTGATCACACATTTACTTGTTAAGTCGATATATATGACAAAAATTTAAGGGCAGTTAAATTAAACGAAGTGACAAAAAAAGGATTTAAGAATGGTTAACACAACATTTGGTAATCCAATCAAATAAGGATTACCAAAGTAGGTTAAGAGTAATAATAAACTGTTTTTGAATACACAAGGGGGGGGGGAGGGCTTAAGTTTATGAATAGCTATAGCCTCAGCATATTTCAATAAGCGCCCTTCACCATATTTATAGATGACCTTAAAGGCTGAGTTAACATCAGTCTTACGGTTAATCTCGATTAGGTGTTTAGCTACAGACGAAGTTGGTAGTCTGACACCTGCCTCTATTGGCTTTCCACAATTCATTTGTTTTTCTAACCATTTCGGGATATGCTCTTCCACCCTCACATCCAAAGCACGACTACTCCTCCCTTTGTATGTGTGTCCACACACACACGAAAATTGGTAAATAATGTGGGATGTGACATAATCACTTGTGCACTTCTGAGGTTTCCAGTGGATCATATTTTTAGCTTTTTCAATAATTGCAAGCTGCATAATAGGTTCTGCAGATGACCGAATTCAACCTTGGTCTCAAAATCCTACTGTTTATTTCCCCATTATATGATAATTTGATGTAAACATTTTTCTTAGGGGCAGTATAAATTGTAGATTTAAAGATGCTGAGGCTATAGCTATTCATAAACTTAAGCCCCCCCCCCCCCTTGTGTATTCAAAAACAGTTTATTATTACTCTTAACCTACTTTGGTAATCCTTATTTGATTGGATTACCAAATGTTGTGTTAATCATTCTTAAATCCTTTTCTTTTGTCACATTGTTTAATTTAATTGCCCTTAAATTTTTGTCATATATATAGACTTAACAAGTAAATGTGTGATCAGATTGTTCGAAATGTATAGCGCAAATACATCACATTTTTCAGATAATCTCCGTCTTCTAATAACACTATCCAAATGTATAAAAGGGACTAATTGTTTTAAACAAACTTATGAGCCTTAAAAAACAGACAATATTTCAGTATGTATTTACGCAGACTTAGTTTTCCTACTGTTGAATGAATGTATTTAGGAATCGGAATACTAGTAAAGTTCCAACAATGTAATATTACTTAGGGAAAACTGTCTCTGTTGTTCCGTTTCCCCGTACTAATTAACTTACCATATATAAGATTGGTCAATTCTTTCTTTTTATAAAGTTCCAAATTTGGGAAGAAAGCTATCCCTCCAGACGCCAGTTCTATGGTTCCACCTTAACATAATTTAAGTAAAAAATTGAATTTAGGCAATTATTTTCATCAAACTTGTATGATTAGATACAAAAGTCTAAAGTGAATGTTCAGATATCAATTGAATATTTTTTAGTCGTAACTTTCAACTTAACTAGCTAAAGCTCGTAGTATTAAAGCTCTGACTTTTTTATTGTTGGATAGCCACACTCAGTCATTCATTTGAAAAGTTCATTTGTTTTTGTAAGTCGATATTCATGTTTTAACAATGTGGCATGCAACTGTTTTCATTTGAAATTTGTGCGGTTATTTTAATTTGTGATAAATGAATAGATTTGTCTAAATAAGATAAGTGAATGTATATAACTTAGCTTAGAGTCAGTGCATGTGTAAGAAGAAAAGATTGTATTTAAAGTGCCACTTAAGTAGTTATCCAAACTTAATACAATGAACACGCGCAGTTCGTTTAACATAGACTTTCAGTATTTAAAGAAAGGAACATAGATGATGGTGAACGAAGATATTGAATTTTACTTGATTATCAAAAGTTGGTTTGTAGGGATTTGATTGGTTACAGGATTTTCATCATTAGCTGACATTGATTAGAGAACCATAGGAAAACCCGGGAGTACTGGACAGCTGTTTCGTCCTAGTTTGGGACTCTTCAGCAGCACGAACCCACCGGGATTCGAACCCAGGACCTTCTGGTTACAAGCGAGTGAGCTCGTAGACCATTAAGCCACTGGGACTCGATCCAATAGCCAGCCCATGAATTCTAACTCCTGCCAATTCACGACATAGCGTGACCACTAGCCAATGTTTTCGGCGAGTATTTTTCCTCACAACCGACCTGCTGCACCCTACTGGTCACGACTTCTCACTAGAACCCCAGGTAACTACCTACCTGAATAGGGCAAGTCGCCAGCGAGCATCTCATTGATATTCAAGTATTGGTTTTTAGGGATTTGTTTTTCGAGTTTGACTGCGAATCGATATCATTTAGAGAACCATTTAAATCCAGGAAGTACTAAACAGTTGTTTCATCTTAGTTTGGGAATCATTGGCAGTACGAACCCATTGGGGTTCGAACCCAGGACCTTCCAGTGACAAGGCAAGTTCGTATACCACTCAGCCACTGGGACCCAATTCAATGGCCAGCCCATAAATTCTAACTTCCACCAATTCGTGATTTTAGTGCAACCACCAGCCAATGTTATTAGAACATTAGCAGAATTTATTTTCCAACTTTTAAAACTATTTTTCAGTCAGTAAATATTTGTTGATGAAGAACTCATGATATTTTATTTGCCTACTTACTTATCTGTCGAAAAGGTGGTTTAATATCCTGTTACACTTCCTGTAGGAACTGAGTTTTGCAAGTCAAAGTTTCACTGAGCAAGGTAATCGTGTCATTAGCTATAATCATACTAATAGCACACAGTGAATTATCCAGTCCTAATTTCATAGTGGTTTTACTAATATGCACAATCAAGTACTACTATATAATTTAGCAATTTCAAAGTAAGTGTGAAATATGACCGAAGATTAATAGTTACTGTTAATCCTTAGTATTTTGGACAAAATCCAAGTTTGCCTTACTTGATGTGTTTCTCTACAACAATATGAAGTTTGACTGAAATGAATACATAATGTTTTGTTTATTATATCAGGGACATTTGTTCTAACCAACATTTGTAATGTATTTCACACGTTTAGTCAATTATTAGAATTTACTTGTTCATTGTGGTCATTATTGTAAAAGTAGCCTAAGATCCTCCATCAGATAGTTTAATTTTCTTTTTAATGTCAGGATATTTATAGATATTTTTAGTATAACTGGTAACCAGATTTGTTATCAAGTTTTAGGATGTCATTTTGCCTCAAACTTACCAACAAAGTCTGTAAAGCAACTTTATTGAATAATGTACGCAGAGATGCCATGTTACTTACATAGCTTTCAAAATGTGCTCTGTATTCATTAATCGCAGTGGTAAAAAATATTCCTATGTCAGTTTTGTGTGTTGAATGTTGGTTATATTGACAAAGATTCACTAATTAGCTTCTATCTTACTCTGTTCTACTTCTACTTTATTGCCACTACATGCATAGCAATAGCGAAGTTTTTTCTAGCATAACCATCTTATCAGTGGCGATCATTTTTCAATAAGATAACTTATTCGTATCAGCTTGTTTGACTTCGTAATCCTTATTTAACATATCATATTTTGTTAAATCGTTTCAGCTTGTGTCTGATTGAATTTTCATGTTTAAATGTCATTTTAATTTAGGCCTTGGAAAAAAGTATTCGACGTAGTAGTTTTAGCATCCTTTACTTGTATAGGATCAGCTTAGGAACTTTGAATTCTTTCTTCACGATTACTATTTACATTGCTACCATTGTTACCTTTTTGTCCTTGTAAGAGCCTTTGAATAAATTTTCGAGGAAAAACTTTGAATAGTGTCTTTTTGATACGTTTCATTTAGCTGTTCAGTGGTTCAGTGTAATGCTTAATACTAATAAGCTTAGTACGGATATGTATATCTGTCAAGTCCCTATGGTTTTTGTTTTAAGAAACTCACAGTATGTAAGTTGTTTAAATATTTATTGTCTAAATCAAGTCTTGCTTATAACTTGAAATTCAGGACCAACAAACTCTTGCAAGTTTAAACTAAAATTCGATTATATGTTAACAGATAAGAACGAAGAAATCTAAAAACCCTCTATACCAGTACACCAATCAATATGTGTTTCGGAGATATCAGAAAAGAGTTTAACATTGAACTAGAGCTCATAGAGAGGTTAGTAACATACTGTTCAAAAAGAGACGAAATTTTATAATACCTGTAGTCGCCAGTAAACACTTTGAAATAAAAACATTCAACGATTATTAAGTTCTCCTTTGTTTTATAAAATAACTAACTTTATTTGGCAAATAAATCAAATTCCACTCCCTTAAATTTGGCCTGTAGACCACAAACTTGGAAGAAAATAAGTCAAAGAGTTTAAGTGACAGTAAAATCGTTGTTTAGGTGCGCCGGTGGCATGGCGGTTAGGACGCTCGCCGACCATGTACATGGTCTGGGGTTCGATCCCCGGCCGACACATTCCTTTACCTCGCTAAGCCAGAACTAAAAGCTGGTGAAGAGGAAAGGTTGGGCATGAGGCTAGCAACCCCATCCTGTAAAAATAAACACTGCTCCAGAAACTTCAAGCCTCTATCTTGAAGCCCTATGTTCCACTGGGGAACGTGAAGGAATAAAAAAGCATCGTTGTTTACGTGGAAAATGTAACTCTATGTGTAACTTCATAAGTTATATATTTTTATTGATAAGTTCAAACTAGTCACTTACACATAACTATGTTCTCAGCATTTGAACATGTCTTGTCTAATTCTATGGTTTTGGTTCGAAGAGTATTTTTCTGCTGTGCTGTCTTTTTTAGACATTTCAAGTTAGGTTTCTTGGATCCGGTTGAGTCCATTTCTAAAGATGTTGGTAGTAAGCTCCCACTAGATTTGTGTTCACAAAAAGGTTTGGCATATTGTCCTGCAGCTCTTAGTATTTTATTTGATATACTATCACCCAAGGATCCTAAAAGAAGTAGAGCTGGAGGCCTAGATGAACTTCTTGAGAATGAAGTTCCTTCGTTGCTCTACACAAAAGAGAAAAACATTGAAAGGACATGATATATATACATATATATACAACGGTTTGATCAATGAAAGATATACCTTGGCTTCTGTGTCTTGCCTTCTGTTGTTACACCACTAAATCCAGAACATATTAAATTTCAGAAAGTGTACAAGAATTATACTTAAATATATAAATCAACTCACTGGTTCTGTAAATTCATTCTGGGTCAGAAGTAAAAGTAGCAACCATTTTAACAAGAAAAAGGTGCCCGGTTTGGTGATATTATCTGAAGTATATTGAATAACATATTAAGCACAAAATATATCCTACCTAAAAACATGAATGCAAATGTAAACGCAATCCCGAATTCGTAGGCAGGAACATCTGAAAGGTAAATTTGAATGCCAAAAAATTTATTATAAAAATATGGAAATCAGTAAACCATTTTCATAACATTTCTAGAAAAGATGGAGCATACATGAAATGTAAAAAGGACGTCATAAAGGGTAAAAAACTCTATTGAATTCGGTCTCTTCATCAGGTGTCGTCACCTTAAGGTTGTGCAGAAATTACATGTGAGTGAATAGAGTGTTTAGCATGATCTTACTTTACACAAAAGTTTTATGGATTTTCTTCAGTATGCATCTATAAACACTTATCTATGTAAGAATGATCTTCATTTCAGGAAAGAGTCAGTCTAAGCGTCATTAACGTGTTTAGCCAAGTCGTATGTTGCAGACACAGATTATGGTAGTTTTTTTTTATTTCAGATACCTGGAAGTGAAGTTTGGCCGACCCTAATATCAGTTCAGATTCAACCACTTCTATTACATCTTTAAATTAAGACAATTCAAACACAATAACATAAAAACGACCAATGGAGTTCATTTAACATTCAAACGAGACTATGTTAATAGTTCACTGAAGTATTCAGTAGAGAAAAGTCTTATAAAGTTAAATCTGTTGGAATGTAATAAACTTTTCACAAATATAAAGATAGGAAAATTATGTATGACGGATTACAGTAAAAATAATCAGTAATTTCTACGAAAAATAGACCAATACGACTCAGATAACTGATACATTTGTCCCTCTTAAAAGCTAAAGAGTGTGATGTCATTCACTCATCTCAAAACAAGATCAATAATTCCATCATTATACTTCCGGTTTACTTATATTTCAACAATAGAGTTTCTCCGTGCTATAATGTAGGATTACTTGTGCCACTATGTAGTTCTCTTTCCGCAATATATTCTATATTTGTAAAAGAAATATGCGGTTAATAATTGCGCTATATTTTTACAGCTATTATGAAAACACTATTATATTTTTTCTATCATATACTGAGAGAAATGAAAGAGTTACTCGAGCATTTTGGCAGGATAGTCTTTAGAAAGTGATAAATCGGACGTACCACGTTGGTAGGTTCAACAAACAATACTCATTATTTGGTCAGTAGTTATCTTAACACAATCAGTAAGATCTTAATTCAGTGATTATGTTAAGTTATATTGTGGTGGTGTGATACAGACAATGTGTGCCAACGGAATATTATTCTCACATAATCCCACAGCTCAGTACGGCATTAGCAACAGAATACGATATATCTGTTTGAACAATCAGTTTACTGTTAGAGACAGAATGCATTTCCCACGGTTATATGCTGCATTAACAAAAGAATACTATGTACGTTTGATCATTCTGTTTCATGTCGTTTGATGTAAACCGAAATCACTTGCTCACTGATCGGTTAAAGAATATAAACTGTGTATATATATGTAAACATCGATTTGATAACTTTGAAAATATACCTTGGCTTCCGTGTCTTGCCATCTGCTGTTACAATATGATTCATTTTGTTTTACAGTTATTTAATTTAGCTGCTGAAAGTGAAGTATGTTAATAAGGTGTATTTACTTGATAATCTGACATCTAGAATGAAGTTATCGAAGCCTAAGTAGAACTTTTGGTTGTTGATAAAGTACATAAAATTTCATGAGGTTATGAGTTTTGAATAACTGATTCTATTTCACTGAATTATGTATTGTTGGGAAGCTTTGTTAATAGATATACTACCAAACCACCAAAACAAAGACCACTGGTCTTAGTCATATGATAAATTGTTAGCTTGATGAATTGAGTTATGACCTGAAATAGGAACCGTAGATCACATTACTCATAGTTGGTTATTTAGTATCCTTTTTTTCTGTATCATACTTAAAGGTGTTAAAACTTGAATCGTTACAGGAGGTTCTATGTTTTTCTAACCGATCGGTTGTTTACGGACTAAAGGGGTATTTTATAGCAACTATCATGGGGTTAATATACGATTAAATTTTTTGAGATAAATAGTTGGTGTTAACACACAGTTAAGAAGAAACTTTTTAAGTCATTTAGGAAAATAAATAATTAACAAATTTTCTCCACATACTTACAACTAGGTAAACTTTTGACAACTGTACTCAATGCACATTTCCATGGGTCTATAGGATTCACTGTAATGTCTACAATACCGTAAACCTGCAAAGCAATGTCATTAGCTTTAATTTATATTTTGAAACTTACCTTAAACTGCCACTGATACGATTGACCGGCTTTGTTTAGAAATGGAACACCCGAAACAAAGCATCTCCTTCCGAACGAGAGTTTGTGAATTAGTTTACCTGAAATGTTACACAACTTTGATTTCATTACAGAATTTTTACGAGACAATGTAGACGCATTTTATAATTAGGAATGCATTCAATGAGAATAATTTGTATTTTTTTTTAAATTGTTGGGCCAGTTATAGTTGATGTAAAATTACTTCATCAAAAACTCGACTGCTTTCATCGTTGTGGTAAGGACAGATGTATTCTATAAGCAACTCTATTGTTGCCCACGCTTACGTTAACAAGCATCTTAAACTCATCATTTCCTTTCTCAGTGACTCAACTGCTGCAACCTAATCCCGGCTGATTATTGTTATACTGATGTAGTGGTTGGGTGTGCAGTTACAACGATCCGATGAGCTCTAATTACTGGAGCGAATGTTGCTATAGATTCTAACATCCCAGAAAGCTCAGATTCTAATGGATAGTCGTATATGCATCTTCCGGGATGAAACGAAGCAACAGTGCCGAGTGGTATGACTACAGGAATGTTCACTTGTCGTGGTGATGAATTATAGGTTAAGTTAACTACGTTATTACCAGTTGTGGATCACCTGGATAGATAAAGTTCGTTGGTCGTCCCTGTTTATAATAAAAGACATAAATGTGTCTGTGACAATCTTATGGAGATCAGACTGAATGGCACAGCACCTAAGATTCTATATTCCATATTGCCTACGAAGGGCTCATGAAAACCATGAAGGTTTAAAGATTGAAGGAGGGTGCAATAATTGGTTCCTTGCCTTTCACAAGGTTTGGGAAAGCATACAGAATTACTGGTGTCCATCACTTAGCATGTCTGTCTACCTGAAGGCGGCATTTGACTCCATCGAGTGAGAGATGCTCTGGCAATGTATATTTGTGGAAGAAGTATCGAAAAATTATATCGTACTAATCAGCTGACTCTACTCGAACTCATCTAAATTAGAGGCAACTAGTGTTGTAAGTCAGGTATGCACAGTGACACCACTTTCACTCAATTTAGCTATGGATTTCCACATGGAGTTAAACTAGCCGACATTTACGTCTCAAGAACTGAACTGTTACTTTGGTAAAGTTCAGTTGATGTAGAGTAATCCGATAATATAGTTCTAGATGAAGATAACAAAAAATAGAATCCTTTGAATACATTCAGTTAAAATCTTAGCAAGATTAGCATGATGTGACATAAGTAGTATGGATAGAGTCCTAACTGAAGTAGAGCTGAAATGATTCAGTGTGTATTGATCCCTTCACTTATTCGGGGATATAGATCAATCACCATGCACTGATTATTGACAAAATCTCATCGTGGATAAAGAAGACTCATATAGCATTTACCAACTTGCGTCACCATTGTCGTAGGCGTGATATCTAGCTATCTATCAGAGGACATATGTACTACACGGCAGTTTGCTGTGTCCTTTTATTATGGTTGTGTAACTTGGCTTTTGATGGTGTAACATATAAACAGACTAGTGGTCTTGGGCTATGAATGTCTGCACACCACTTCGCGTTGCCTGGTGTAATATGATCAGTATTAATGAGGCTGGACGCTCAACCCTAGGCAAGAAGGGAAGTCAGTCGCATTCTTGGCCGATCACTGTTAGCTATCATAGGATTGGGTTTGAAAAGAATTATGAGTGGGGGCTCAGATGAAAGCATGACAACAGCCAATGAAGTCTTTGACTGATGGTTTCAACCTTGTAAGAAGGTGTAGGTTGCTTGGCTGGGTTCCTTGGGATGATAGAAATCAATGGCTGATGATGTGGCTATAAACTGTCTACACTGGTGCCGATGAATGCAGCCCTTATAATTTCTCATACTTTTAAAATTCCTCGCTAATATCTGTTTAATTGTCTTCTCTTCTATACACTCGTTTATCGTAGTTTCATTTTGATCCTTTTATCCCTCTTTGTTTCTGTTTTCATAAATTCTGTCGGATTGAACTATTGTACATTTGTGAAAATTTTTGTACTGGTAATTCAGCCGGTCACTCAACCTAGTTTGATGAGCGGTAGCTTGTCATCTCTTAGCTGTTTTAGTTGGTAAAGATATACCATCAACTAATTAATCTTCCTCTTTTAAAATTTATGTTCACTGTGAAAGTGGTATACCATCTGCATTCATCTGACAAGAGCAACATTACAAAGGTGCATTTTGTTAAAACTTATAATATCTTCGTATCTTTTAAAGAAGCTGTATCGCAGCTGAAAACTATGACAGGAGGATTCCCTAGACAGTACGCAAACTGTTTTGTAGACAGCCATATAAATAGAGGAAATCAAGATAAGAAACGTTGAAGAACTTCGAACGAATTTTCTGTATTCATGATGGGATTGTGTCGGCAACCATCCAATCTGGGATCATACACCTCCTAGATAGTTGGTCAAAAGAAGCAAATCTCTTCGTTACTGCAGAGTATCTATGTATCAATCTCTTACAGTTGACAAAAACAAACTGCCCGCTAAATATAAAAGAATTTTTCTCTGGGAGTTGACAATACTGCAATTGTCATCTCGTATAGAAAAGGACTATGTCGTTTGCTCAGTCCAAGTTATCAGGTCTTTCCATGAGCTAACACCATAGAAATAAAAAAATGTATCTGGCTCACTTACCAAGCACGAAGCACCTGATGCTTCTTTTGATTCTGAATCGATCTAGAATGGTCCCTGTTTCTTTGTCCTGTCTTGGAAGTAAGAGAAATTCTACCGTTTCTAAAAAAATAGATTGTTAATTATTGGTGTATACACTGATAGACAGAATTCTCATAATACCTTAATATTAAGAAATTAATGTGACTGAAGACTATTAGAGCTGACCTGGCTTTGTATTTTTGATATATTTCCCTGGTCAGTTTTGAATGCTTCATGTGTCACACAGATTAAAACATTTTTATTCCTGTTGTTTCAAACAAATTTACACTTTTTAATCTTCCATACCCACTAAACTGTCACGTTTTTCGCTGCTATTGTTCTCTCCTTCACATATTTCTGCTCCTTATAGTTTACCTTTTGTGCTACATGGAGTGTGGCAATTTGAACTGCTAAACTTCTATGCTAAGTTCCATATTGAAACTCAGTCATTCAGTTTTGGTTAATAAAAGTCAAATCAAATAATGGTATACATATTTAGACAGGTTGTTAGCCTGTTTATTTTTAATCGTATCTTACATCTTAAATTAGGTTTTCAATGGTATAATCAGCAAAATTAATTGCAAATCATCACAAAAAGAGTTTGAAGATATCTTCAAAGAATTGAAAATTACTCTTTGCAACAAACAACTTACTAAGAAAAGTGAAGCCAACTGGAAGATATGAATTAGTATTTGTAAAATGATTGGCTGCACACAGCTAGGAAGATAACAATTTTTGTCATCGAACAGATTATGACTGCCTCTTTCAGGATTTAGAAAGTTAATATTTTTAGAAGCAAATCCTAGTAAGCCTTACGAAAATGCTGTTACTATCTTTCTTCAACGTCTGTTGTACAGTGTGTACATGGATATAAACAACGAGAAAAGTATAATCAACACTCAGACATCCACTCTAGCTAATCTGTTTTTAATAATCTTAGCTGAGCACTTAAAATTAAGCTGGAGTTTCCTCCAAAACCTCAAACAAATGCATAAATTATGGGGTTTTTCAAAATAATTGGAGCAGTTGTCCTAACTTAACTGTCATATATGTATGCATTCATATACATTATCTTATTTATTATTGGGTTAAACTCAGCGAAATCTTGTTTCCTAAAGCTGCTCACACATACATTTACGGAGATTAGAAAGAAGAAATTTCAGCTGTGCGGGCTGGTCCCGTTATCTTTATTTCTCAACTGGAATCCTCTCCTTAACTGATGCATTATCAGATAGCTATCTGATAGTAGCTAATGAGATGTCTACATGTTCTTTCCACGTAGCATTTATACCACTTTCATAATTTCTCCAAAAGCCCCGATAAACTTGGCTAAATGTTGCTGTCAAACTTAACATTTGTGGTGTAAATGAAAGCATATTTAACAGTCTGGACAAATATTGAATACGCAATAAGGGCACCTGAAAACAAGTACCTGCAGTCCGTCTCAGCCTCAACGAAGGAGTAAAGTGGAAACTAAATCAGCACCACTCAAGTGGTACCTGGGTAGCTTCTATCTATAGACAGGAAAATTTCACATAAGGTTTCTGTATTACTTTAGGAACTGTTATGTTTTCTTAGACAGAGCTGATATAGAACGCTTAGTATGCCAAGCAGAAGTAAGTTGGTTGTTATGCTTTTATTCTCCAGTCGGAAGTTGGCTGTGACACGGGGTCAAAAGATGAAGTACTTCCTTGAGCTGACCAGTAAATCCTCCATTTTGCCTGTGTGCTTATCTTTTTAAATGATGTTTTCGGGGGATCAAGTACTGATACAAAGCATAATTATAGGCGGACTTTTCAGTTGTATATTAACAGAAAAAATTAGCATATGATAAAATGGTCTGTAGATCAAATGAATATATTTGAAAACAAGAAAACACTTATTCAACCTTGCGAAATTATTTTTTCACTTTACTGATTACCGCAAAAAGTAGCCAAAAGTTTCAAAATACCTGAGAATGATCTCTTTTCTATTTCTTCTTTCCCTTCTTTATTGCAAAATTTACACCGAGGTCTAGATTTACGTGAGAGAAACTAAAATTCTTACTTTTTTCTAACTTTCGGTATGCAAGTTTCTTGTTGAACGAGGAAAGCATTTTTTCCTGGACATAAGCTGTCCTGACATGAATATATGACCGCATTAGTGGTCATATAAATTGGTGTTATTCCTATAACAACTCCTTCGATGAAAGTCAGGCGGTCAAATGTAAATGATACGTTTTTAAAATGTAATCTTCGTAAAAATATTAAAAGGTGCTATTTACTCGGGAATGCATAATATGTCGGTGAATGTTAGTTCAAGGAGAATACAGTTCATGTCGTCATCTTCACAAAGTATGTCAGCTTCAATTCCGAGGCAAAATATTATCTAAAAAACAGTAAAAAAGCAAGAAGTAACACCTACAAAAGTAGGAGAACAAAAGACACGTAGTCTTACAGTCTAAAAGCTATCACATTAAATAAATTACAGCGATGTCAATGAAAATTACAACTTACTTTTATTATAACATATCAACAGAAGCAAATCCACTATTCAACAGTTTACTGATGTGGAACGACGATCCTTTTAAGTGTTTCAGAAGACAAAATTACTTGGGCGTCGGAATAATAATACAACGCTTGGAGAATGCGGCAGAAGCAGAATGCGTATTCTCACAACCACTCCAGTTTTACTTTCGAGAATCAAGGATAGACCAGCTGACTTTTCCACTTCTCTGTGTATTTATCATTCTGATTTTTGCTGTGGAGCCAGTTACATTGGGCACACTGTTCGGTACGTTCGTTACTGAATTTCTGAACGCCGTCCTGCGTGATTACGGAAGGAACAAACTAAGTCTATTTGCAGCTCTGTTTTAGTCCACCTCATGGATACTGAACACGAAGTCTAGGACATTCGAAGTTATCTGCGCTATTCTGATTAATCTTTATTTCTTCTTAAGATTTCTTATTTTACATATACCTGACGCCGTTGTAAACCACCCGAAGAAGCCTAAATTAAGTGTTCGGATACTTTACCCAACTTGAGCATCTTTACTTGATTTTAAAAATCTGACAATTACCCTTTATCTCTAAGCCTATTACAAACTGTTATTGTTTAAATTGTTCTTAATTGCAGTACGGATTTTCTTAATTTTGCCCAATATTCAATTTAGTATTACATTTTTATGCACCTTATCTTTTGCACATACTGTTTTTCTGGTAGTCCTGACGACTCGATATTATTTAAAAAACAACACAGTTTCCAGTAAAAACTTTTTTAAATGTGTACATACGACTGCAGAAAAAACGAGGAATATTCTTTATTGCCCTCTAAATGTTTGAGTGAGGAATTTCAAATGACTGAGTTGTCCAGTTATATTGGAATTAATCTTTAGTCAGATAGCCTACAAAAGAGTTATTTTCTCGTTCTTACTTAATTAGTGATGGAAATGAAAACCTTTAATATTCCAAAAAGCATAATCGAAAGTCACCAATGAAAACACAGTCAGGAAATTACATCTCCTTATTCCAATCAGACATGTGAAATTTTGTGCCCTCATACAGGACGAACGGAAGAAACGTTTTTGCATGCAAACAGCCGACTACGTATAACTTTTGGACGTTGACGTGAAACGAATTCCCCCAAAATGTGTGCTTTAATAATGCACTGGTACACCACCAGCCTGAGATAAATCTCAGTAAACTGTAATTTGTAAGGTAAGTGGCTCCTGAAATAGTCAACGTGCTTCGCACACCCTCACTGATATTTTGCCCCTTTTCTAGCAATAACAGTATTTTTTCCAGCATAATATTCTACTAAAACGCTTTTAGATTCTTTTGCAAGGCCACGCGTTATAACAGTTATGGGATTTAAGTTATCCACTAAGCAGAACACACAGGAAAACAATTCTATGATATTTATTCAGAGTTGATATATTAGAAGTTACCGTGGCAAATATTTGTAACTGCAGTGATTCGACAATTATTAAACAGTAAAAAATTAAACTAACCTTCTGAAGCATTTTTTCAAGAATGGAGACACGGTTGATTATTTCAATCACAGAAGATCCTGAGAAAATACGTTTAATCATAAGATTCTATACACAATACCTAGAAACTCCGCCAATTCATGAAGACGAAGATGTATAGGCACAATTGATACAGGACGTCTCTAAAAGAATCATGAATGATAATAATTTTTTACATTACCTTTTCACATAATGTTTTTATTAGACGGCTTTTAACTCGTGATAGAAATGAATCACGTTCTAAATACCTAATCACAGAAGAATACAACGAGAACGCATCCATTATTTAAGTAGTGCGCGCCACAATTTATGAAAACAAAAGTGGGTGGTTCCAGTATCGGTTCCAATTTTATTAAATATTATTGACAAAACATATTTCCAAGTGAAATTTTAACAGAACGTGATATTTAAGTCAAGCTCTTTTACGAGGTAGGTAGACTAAATTGGTTTCTTTGTGCTCGCTCCTTGGCAGTAAGTTAAAGGTCCCTGGTCTTTGGCAAACGCCTACGCAGTTCGTCAAGCCACCTAAATGTCGTGGCTTCGGTCGATTCCAAAATGAATGGTGCTAGGGCTAATTACGTGCAGTGTGTGTTAAGGCCGCGTTGCTGCTGTGAGTGGAATTGATCCTTTCACCCGTTAGTCGTCTGGTGTGGTCGAAAAAGGAGAAAACAATAATAATATTCGCAATTAGTACAGGTTAAGTAGACTATAAAAAAGAAAAAAAGGGAGCTTAGGTCACTGATAAGAATCAGATTCATAATCATTAACCAGGCGTGCCACCTGGCTAGTTTGTTTTCTCTCCAACATTATTCAGTGCAGGCTTTTGGGATTCGCAGGCAGATTTTCGTTAAGGTTTGACTGAAATGACCTCCTGTTACTCCTGACTGTTGCGTTTCTTTGGTTCCTGAGTTCGAGGTATGCATTGTGGGCGATCGAACTCTTGAAGATTCACCACGTAGACCAAGTCTTTCGCCTTGCTTTAGGAATACATTGTGTACCTCTCTTCAGCCATGAGGTACTTTTCTTCGGCTGTGTTGTGACTAAAGTGACAGTGCCCAGTGCTCGCGCTCCATGCTGAAGTTCAGTTGGCCTAGAAAGAATTGATAACAGGAAGATCTGGCAACAAACCAACCAAGAGCCGATTGCTCAAAAAATTTATAGGAAAAAACGGGAATGGATCGGGAACACACTGAGGAAACCACCGAATGATGTCGCACACCAGACCCTTACTCGGGTAGAATCCTAATGAGAACTGACGAGTGGGTTACCAGTGCGTAGGTGACATGAAGGAAATCGTGTGATGAGGAGATGAGGGATTATGGTCAATCGTGGACCCAGGTGAAGAGGACATCAGAAAATAGAGTGGATTGCAGGTGTGTTACTGAAGCCCCACGCTCCACTCGCAGCCCAAGGAAATAATAAGTAATATTAGTATTGTGTTCGTCCACGGATAACTCTGCCGAATCATTAGGCTACTGTGCCTCGGACAAAAACTTTCGCATCGTGGAATAGCCAGGTTTGCTACAGCACAGACATGGTCGCGTAGCGTCCCACAGTTAGCGCACACGAAGAAGATGAAAACCTATAACTGCTTGGTCACTTCCCCATAGGAGGGTCATGATCCGGACATTTTCGACTAGTAACTGATCACTAGTTAGGATGTAATCCAGTTTCGATGACTTTCCACTAGAGCCTCACCTAGTGTCATCTCCAGCATATTCCCAGCCAAGGTTCAGAGATGGGGCACTGAAGTCTCTAGCTATAGTGACTTGGTCATAGCCAAAGCCTCGTATCCTTATGATATTTCCGAGCAGTGGCTGGTTGTGCTGCGCCCCACAGGTGAATGATCGGTAGATGCCACCCAGTAAACGCCTGGTTTTGTATGCAGTGTAATGATATTTTATGGAGTCTGGGAGTTTGATAAGTGAAGCGTCCGCTTCATAAACCTTCCTCACGCTAAGAAAATACCCACAAGCAGTAGAAATCCATTAATTAATGCGTCCGAAGCTTATGTACTTACTCCCAACAATGACATTGCAGATCAAATGAGACAAACACATCACTGATTTCAAAATAACACATCAGTGAACTATAATTCAAGGATTCTGCACACAACGAAGTTATGTATGAATATTTACTTCAAGCTTTATTTTTTTCCCAGGCACTTATAATCCATCCACCAAAGACCTGGTTTTTTTGTTAATGCGAAGACAATACTCCTGTATTTCCTGTTGTGTTACACTCACTGACAATCTAGCAGATTTTTCCAACTTTGCACAGAAATGATTGTATATAAGTGAAAAGGCTGTTTTATACTACTGGGATTAACATTTATCAAGTGTATGTATAATCTCCAGCGAACATGTAAAGCATATCTTGCTACTGCCTGTAAATTGTGATTGAATTATATGGTTCTATTTCTGTAACAATTTGACGATGCCTGTAAACTGGCGTCCCTCATGTACTGTACTATGAGAATAAATTTATTTATTTATTTATTTATATGGAGGAATTACTTCAAGCTTTATTTTTTTCCCAAGTATTTGTAATCCATCCAAAACACACTTGGGTTTTTTTTTGTTAATGCGAAGACAATACTTCTATATTTCTTGATGTGCTACATTGAATGACTAGTTATCATATTGTTCCCATAGACAAAATGACTGCAACCTTATAATTTTACCATGAACCAAATTTATGTAATTTAAATGATACTTATCCATGCCTGTACAATTGGTGTGTCCTACACAGGTAGGAAAAAATGTATTTAATGAAATTACTATTATTAAATATGTTTACTAACCGTATATGTAATTTATCATATTGATGATGCCTGTAAACTGGCGTCCCTCATGTACAAAATGAGAATATACTATTATTTATTTATTTATTTATTCTATGTTCCTTGTCAAAGCATGTGATAATCATTCCCACTCCTTGTTAACCCTGTGTCACCTGACCAGAACAATATGACTTGTACTGGTTTCGCTGTTGGCAATTGGTGGATTTCTATTTTGAGGTGTATATGCGACCTAAGGTTTCCGATTTAACTGGGATAATTGGGTAATCCCTGCTGTCATTCTCAGTGCCGCACCTATGCAGCATCACTGAGGTACGGTGGCGTATTGTGAACTCGGTCTACTGCCTCCTCAGGTTCCGAGGTCAACTTCCTTATTATCGGATATGCCGTCCAACTTTATCCTTGGTCTCACACCACCGTTGAAGCACTTGGGTCAAGTGATCTTGGGAGGTGAATTTGAAACCTAGTAGCCTTGGTAAGCTAATCAGATGAGCGGGACGAGGAAGTCAGCAAGTTGAGGTTTGCCCAGGAGCACTGAGGGCCACCAAATATGACAGACATCCCCACTGATGTGTGTTTTGCGTGTTTTTCACAAGCAGTGCTAGTTTCCAGCTTCGGAACACCACGTATTTAACATGAAGGTAATAATAATAATTTGCTTTATTCTAAAACAGTACTTGTGATACAGAATGGAATTCTCAGCATTTTTACTACAGTATTGCATCCTGTTAGTACATTATCAATAAATAGAATTCTACATAGATTAAGGAAATCTCAGTTCATTATGACAACAACATATTGGCATGTTGGTAGCATAGGTAAAGCTGAACAGTATTTGAAGGTGTTAGAAAAGTAGGAGCTATCATATTTACTGGCGTAAGCGAGAGAAAGAAACAAAGCAGCACATAACGGAAAAAAGAGATAGAGAGAAAAGGAAAAGAAAGAAAGAAAATGTTGTACATAATGATGATGTGGGTTGGAAAGACGAGATCCAGTTGTATTACTGACTATTTAATGAATTATAGGTGTCACGTCTAATGCTTTCTTTATCACACAGAACACGAGCTAAGTAGGGTATGGTTGAGTTTTTGTACTTGCTGGTGCGAGCATATAGTTTTCTATATTGGCTTCTGGTTTTGCCTGATGAGATGCAAGGGGAGAGTTGTGAATGAAGAGGGTGCTGTGAGTTAGATAAAATGGATTTGGCCCATTTTTCACATGAGTCCATGTGCCTGTCAACCAGAATATTAACAAGCTGGTTAAGTGGCACGTTTCTTACCCTGCTGACAACCTTTATCATCCTGCGTAATATGTTACAGCCTTTCTTCAGTAGCCCGGGAAAAACTAAGGGGGAACAATAGAGAATAATAGGCAGAATGCGAGAGTGAACGAATTGTAGGAGTAAGGGTTGGGTTATAACAGAATGTCTTAACTTCTTGATGTAGAAAGTAAGACAGAATATTTTCTTAGAAATCGTCAAGATATGAGACGACCAGGAGAGATCAGCAGATAGAATGACGGTTAGGTATTTAATTTCCGATTTGGTTTCTATTTCAATGCCGTCTATATTGCGTACCTCGTGAGAGCCAACCAGTTTGTTTAGGTCGAATTTATGCCTAAAGGTGAAATTGACTATTTGGCATTTGAAGGGGTATAAGGTAAGACCGTTTTCCTTCGATCACTGGCTGATTTTTGACAGAAAGCCATTAAGCTTAGAGCATTCGCTTTGACACTTGACAGGCAAAGATACAGTCAGGTCGTCAGTATATTTGACAAAATTAATTTCGTTTGAAGATGGTAAGTATAAATTATTTATATTTCATATAAACAGGTAAGTTTACATGAAATGCATGCCATTTTTACATGTGGAAAGAAAGAAAAGAGAAGTGGGGAGGGTACAGCACCTTGGGGGACACCAGCTTCAGTGAGCGTAGCAGAGGATGATTTACTTTTGTATACGGTGTACTGCTTTCTGTTATAGAAGTAGTAATGCAGCCAGTTAGCGACCCAGGACTCAGTTTTTGTCAAAGAAAGCTTATTTAGCACGAGACATCTAGGTACAGAGTCGAAAACCGAAGTGAAGTCGAGAAACGTGCAGCGGACGTATTTGGCACCTTTGTCTAATGATGAGACGATGTTGTTGTGTAAGACAGCTGCAGCGTCTAAAGTGCTCCTACCCTGTCTATAGGCAAATTGTTTGAGGTCTTCAAAGTTTTTGAGGGAGGGTTCAAATTTAAGAAGTACTGGTTTTTCCACTGCTGGCAATGGGTCTGAACTTTACGTTCTTGCTATTTCCAGGTTTAAGGACAGGGACAATTTTAATGTCTTTCCGTGCTTCAGGTACGACATTTTTGCAGAAAGAAGCATTTAGTATGTGCGTCGGTGGCACAGTGGTTAGGACTCTCGCCGACCATGCATATGGTCCGGGGTTCGATCTTCTGCCGGCGCACACCCGATATCTATGGTCGGCCTGAATTTGGGCT